AATAAATAATCAAATACGAAAACAAACAAACAACACACAGATATGGGAACACACATACATACCAAATACACACTGTTGAATTGTTGGAAAAGAAATTTCGGTCTCTGTTACTGGCCATCCCGAAGGAAAAAAAAAAGAAACAAGCCAAAGAACCTCCATAACAATTCTTTCAAACATACGCTATACCACCGAAAGAACCAAAAAAAAAAAAAAGAAAATTTGAATTCAAATCAACAGACACCAAATGCTCAAATTCATTTTTCTACTTCATTCTTTTTCACTTACAAATTAGGCATAGTCATACTTCTAAATACATTTCATTTTCGAAAAAATTTCTTTTGGAAAGTGGCATCAGAAACAACAGCAAAACAGTAAAACAAATAGAAAATTACGACTAATTTCACTTCCACTAATAACACTACTACTACTGCCACTGCTACTACTACTACCACTACTAGTAGACTACTTCTAATACTGCTGCCACTACTATTACTATTATTCGACAACCATAACTATAATGAGTGTATTTTACGGTACGGAATAAAACCAATGATAACTAACATTGCTCACTCACTTCTTCTTTTCTCCAATCCTCCTACATATAACTACACATCTCTGCTTCATTTACAGGTAAATTTTAGCGGTATACAATTAACAATCGACACACAAAAACGCGAGTTAAAAAACCATATAAGGCAATGGTCGATACCATTGTACTTATAACGAATGGTATTATCAGATAAAACCGAATCAGTCGATTATAGAGTGAAAAACTACGTACAACATCACCGACATATGGATATATAGATATACAAAAAAAAAAGGCTACCGAGTAAGGAAATTTATTTGACCGAACCTGCCCACGCCATATGGGAATGAATGCCAACAACAAAAGGCATGCATGAAATCGATAAAATTGCCTCATTAAAAAACTCACACAACTCTGAAAATCATTGTTTTTTTCCCCTTCCCCTCCTTCTCCCTCCTCCCTTATTTTACCAGCACCATACTCCAGTCCCAACATCCAAACTAATTTACCTTCACCTGGCTCAACTTCACACCGTTCAGTTCAGTTTACCTTAATCAGTACTAGCTAGATGTATATACACAGATCAACGACAAACAGTTTCACATGATGTCAAAATCAAGATCAGTTCCTTGACTAATATCTTGAAAAAAAAGGCCATGTCGCCAAATAAAGGGCAAGACATTCCTTCCTAAACTACACATACATAATAATAACAACAGCAGCCATAATAGACAAAAAAGCCCCCTCAAAGGTATAGGCTTTTTTCCTTTTTTTTCCGCTTTTCGTCAATCTTTTACGTTGCACTTTA